TTGCTCCATCCAGGCAGTGGGCCTGAGTGAGCTGGGGCCCATAGAAGAGAGGAACAGAAAAAGGCGATGGTCCCAGCAGCCAGGAGCCAGTGGGAGAGGCACCCGTGCTCTCAGGGAAGGTAGGAAAATGAGCCCACCCCTGAAAACACTCACCAGCAGACCAAGCCTGTTTTTTAAGGCTTGTTGATCCTAGATCTAGAAGTTCCCCAAGATAGCCACTGGTTCATGACTTCCAGGATTTTCCTCTAAAAGGCAGCAGAGAGACCTTCTCATGTCTTAGGGTAGATATTACCCAAATGACTAATGCTTGATTTCAGTAGCTTCCTCCATCTCTTCTACCCCATTTTCATACCAAACTGACTTTATGGGCCATCAACCCAGCTAAAAGGGAAGTCCTACTGATTGTTTCAAATATCTGTTCTAGGGGTTTATCATAGACAGTAATGCCCTCCCCTACCCCGGAAAAGACATCCATGGAACCTGAGAATATATTATCTTAAATAGCAAAAGGGACTTTGCAGATGTGATCGAGATTACTGACCTTTACTTAGTAGAGAGATCCTCCTTAGAGGATACACCTGGGTGGACTCAACGTAATTACGTAAGTCCTTAAACAGGGAGAAGCTTCCCAGCTATGATCAGAGAACCGGAGAGATGGCAGCCTACAAAGGAAGGACTCAGCCTGCTGTTGCCGACTTTGAAGGCCACCAGGCAGGGAATGTGGTCAGCCTCCAGAAGCTGCAAAAGGCAAGGGAATGGGTTCTTCGTTAGAGACCCTAGAAAGGACCAAAGCCTTGGCAACCCCTTGATTTAGCCCAGGGAGACCTGTGTCCTACTTCTGACCTAAAGAATTGTAGCTAAAGAACTGTAAGATAAATTTATATTGTTTAGGCTACTAAAGTGAAATGATGTGGTCAATGGGTGCAGCAGCAACAGAAAATGTAATCAGTCTTCATCACCTCAAGCTTGGATTGGCGCCATAGAATATTCCCAATGACTCCAGCTTCTCTAGTCTCCAGGCCACCTTGGAAACTCCTGCTCCACACACACTCGTCCAAAGCACTCTATTCATTGGACTTCTCTGCTTGAGAGCCTACAAATGGCGTTTTCTCCAACTAAGCTCCTCTGCATATCAGAAGATCTGAGGTGCCTCCTCTGGACCTGCCAAGGGTCAGGCTGGAAGGTTCATGAATACTGCTGAAGATGCCCTGAAAAGATTCATGGGAGAGACAGGCCAACAGAATTTCCCAGGAGTTTCATCACCGAACATGGCTAATAATAGGAATACACTGGACGGCTCACAAGGTCTCACAGGGTCTGCTGGTTACACTGCTCCCCTGACAAAAACAGACGTGTGCCAGAGGAAAACCAGTTCCGCTGCTCTGTCCCGAGTAGGTCACGCGATTAACCTCTGAACCAGGGACCAGCCAGTAAGGATGGTCACACTATAATACCTTCTTTATTTTAGGAAATCTTATGGCTAATTTTCCAGTCCGATCAGATGCTTTCCAAAGATGAAAGAGGAAGATATGGTTTGCGAGAGATCACACGAGCCAGGAGAGACCACAGAACTCCAGCACTTAGAACCTGTGAAGCTTTCTGTTCCAGTCCACGTAACCCCCTTCTGCAGACCCTTTCCTTTTTGTCTGATCTCACAATAAAAACTATCCATATATTAGGCAGCCAGTCAGGGGAAAGGAAAATAGAGTGCGACCCAGTGAGGAACTGTTTCAACAAGAAGAGCATGACCAACTGGGAAACTAGGAAGACCTGGCTGATTTACTACACACATGCTTCCCAGACTTGGGGAACACAGCCAACAGCAGGCTCAGTATCAGAAAGAGTTATCACAGTCTGAACAGGACTAAACCTACAGAGCAGAGTGGCTAAGCGCATGGACTCTGAAGCTGGTCTACCTGATGTTCAATCCTGGCTCTGAGGACAGAAAAAAAACCCTCTCTGGGCTTGGGTTTCCCATCTGTAAAATGGAGATAATAGCACTTGTTCTTTCTAGTTGTGATTAAATGAGTTAATATTTATAAAATACTTATAATAAACCTAACATAAAGTTATCACTGTCTTTGTTAAAGAGACAGAAATCCCTATACAGGTCTCCCTCATCAGAGAGGGACACGGTCCAAGACCCCCAAAGGATGCTTACAGTAAACCACAAATGGTGCCAAGCCCTACGTACACTATGTTTTTTTTCCTAGACATGTATACCTACAATTAATTTATAAATTAGGCACAACTAGAGATAAACGAAATATAATAAAATAGATTTACTGTAATAAATTCACTGTAATAGATTCACTGTAATATCATGTGAATGTGGTCTTTCAAAATATCTCGTTGTGCGGTACCCTCTTCTTCTTGCGGTGGATGATGTATCAGTGGGACCCACACCTTCTGCTTATGTTGCCAGAACACAGTTGTTTTTTGTGGGGCTCACAAGATGTGGGGTTCAAATAATCTGTTTTTGAGAGGGTGTAGGTTCTTCCCTCCACAATAAACTATGCCTGGCTTTATCATACGAGTCTTGTTAATGTAAAAGATAAAATTCATACACATGAGATGATTATGTAACTAGACAATAGTTTATGGCTAATGAATGATACAGTGTTATGAGATAAGATAATGCAAAGTTCACTACTACTTGTAAGGATGTCTCCTGAGTAAAGTGAGAGTTTTATCTGGATCATTACAAGATAGGCAAAGACTCAAATGATTTATCTCTCCTGTGAACTTCCTTAGGAAAATACTAGAGAAAAGCAAAATAGGAAAGTAAATTAAGAGGAAGATACTAGATTCATAAAACCAGAGCCCTAATACAAGGGCGGCAAGTCTCAGGGACGTCTTGGGATGGCAGCTATTCAGCAGGACTAGAGGATCACTGGCAAACACTGGAGCCAGAGTAGAGGAGAGTAAGGGAAGGGAAAATGGCACTGGGAAGAGGATTTGCTGTTTCAGTGTTTCATTTGCTGTGATAAATGTTTAAAGTATTGGATCCGCTGGAGCATTTGGAAAAAACAAGCAATAAATGAATTAAAAACACCACCACCAACAAACAGAAAAACAAGGCAATTACCAACTTGAGGGGGACAGGTAAAAGAAGTAATCATACCACATTGTCTGAGCAGTGAATACTTTCATAGTTCTGATAAAGTAAATACTAACTGCTTACCCCCAAATTCCTTCCGAACTATTGGAAGAATGGGGTGGAGGGAGGGAGGTAATAGACTGAATCTCAACTGCCCTAATTCAGAAGATAATTTCTATGCCATTAAAAATATATATATAATTTAGAAATAGGGAGGTAAATTCCAGTAGAAAGAGCCCCAAACAGTTAGAAGTATTGCCCCTGAGGAGTGAGATGGGGGAGGGTGTTTGAGGAGGGGGAAGGGCAGGGATAATTGTTTTTCATTATAGGCCTTATAAAAGCATTATTTGGAAAATAAAATCCTTTGATTAAAAATTAAACTAGTAAACAGAAAAATCAAAAGACTTTGAAAACTGATTATATACAGGGGCCCAATGAGAGAGGCAATGAGATCTCTACCATTTATTCATATAACAAATATTTATCAAGCACTAAACAGAGCCAGGCACTGAGCTAGGCCTCAGGCCCTGGCTGGTGTGGCTCAATGGATTGAGAGCTGGCCTGTAAACCAAAAGGTTGCTGGTTCAATTCCCAGTCAGGGCATATGCCTGAATTGCAGGCAAGTTCCCCAGTTGGGGATCTGTGAGAGGCAACAACGCATTGATGTTTCTCTCCCCAGTCCTCTCTAAAAATAGATAAATAAAATCTTTAAAAAATAATTTTAAAAAAAGCTAGGTCTCAGGAATACAATGGTGATCACAGCACTCAGAGAGATTGTCTACTAGAGCAAATAGTAAACAAGAAAATAAATGCATAAAAGACGTACAGATTGTAATAAGTGGTGTCATTAGAAAGAAAAACCTAATTACTACGATAGAAAATGGTGGTGTGAAGACAGGGCAGCTACTTCAGTTAAGATTGTCTGGGAAGGCCTTTCTAAGATGATTTGAGACCTAAAGCCCAAGAAGCTCAAACCAAGGGTGGTCTAGTGGGTCTAGAAACTGTTCACAAACCACCGTTGACAGACCACCACCAGAGGAAAGCAGGATGATGGCTCTAGATGAGATTGGAGAAGTAGCAGGACCCACATCATGTGGCCATAGGTAACATTTAAAGCCATAGGAAGAGAAATTCCAACATTCAGGAGGAAGATCCTATAAAACAGACTGAAAAGGTGGGACCCGTAAGCAAAGGAACAGCAAGAAAATTTGAAAACTTCCCCAACAACGCCCTAACACTTTCAGCATTTTTCTAGAATTGCACGCCCCCCGCCAGTTTGTAATTACTTTTACTAAGTGCAATACAATTTGGTATTCATATTTCTGCATCAGTTCTGGAGATGAATGTATTTCTAGCCTAGAAAAATCAATTTACTGTTCTACAGGTGATTTACTCATCCCCACTCTAAGGTATACCAGCGTGGCTCAGGATCTTTTGCGTCATAGCTGGGGCAAGGCGCTCTATGATGCTATGGAGTTTCAACTGGATGTCAGATAGGTTTCCTCACGACCCAGCCCGTGCGTGTGGAAAGGCAACCGAGAACGCAGCCTACAGCACAGCCTAGGGCGCAGCACTTCAGCACTGCCCGCTGTCGCGGAAAATGTGACGGGGTGCGGTTGCTTTTGTTGCCCCGGCGATTACTACCTAGGGAGGTACGGCCGCGGGCGGCGTTGCCCCCAGGTAAGTTCACAGCCCGGCGTGCAATGGGCCCCGCGGATAGTGTCGGGTCCCGAAAATAAAAAAGAGAATAGAAGAAGGTAGTTGGCGGCGGTAGCCAGATTCCCGATTTGGAGCGTGCCACATCCCCAGAGACTCGGGGCCTCCGCCCGCCCGAGGGCGGCCTTCGCACCGCCTCCTGCTCCCGTCAGCACCCGCAGGCAGTTACTGCTTCCGAGGTCGCTTTCCGGTGCGCACGCAACAGGCGCCTGCGGGGCCGAATAGCCAACCGGCGCCTGGAGCTCAGGGCAAATGACTCCCCTCCGCCCTCGCCACGTGCTCTTCCACCGTCTGCTACCGTCTTTGCTCCGATCAGTGGGTAAAGACGCGCCCAGCGCACGGACCAGAGCAGAGGCAGCGGCCCTCCACGGGCCAGGCTGGCCCCCCGACCCCGCCCGCGCCCCCCCGGGGACCGCGCCGCCGGGCGACGCCGGCGCTGTCCAGCGCTCGCAGCCTGAGCAGAGGATGTCGCAGCGCTAGTAATGTCTGGGCCCAGGTTACGTAAGGCGTGGGCGGCCTGGGACTGCTGCCAGCTGTTCCGGCACGCGCCAGGAGGTCTGGGAAGACGCGGGCGGACGAGCTACACCCGGGAAGCCGTTAGCGCGCTGGGCTGGGTTAAGGGAGGGCGTGGAGCCCCTAAGGCGCGAGAGCGAATCCACTGCGGTCACCCCCAGGGTGGGATGGTGTTATTATTGTGTGGCGGGGAGGCCACCGAAGTAGCCCCCTGAGTTACTAAGTTTAGAAAGCTACAAAGGGCTCAGTAGTTTCCGATCCCAAATCTGTTTTCGAAGAATGGTTTCCAGCCCCAAATTTAAATCCCGCTTCCCCTCTCAGTCAAAATGTGAGCTCTTCCAGGTGGGGGCTGCTGGGACGGGGCGTGGCTGGCGGGAAACTTTAAAGTTTCCCTTAGCTGACGGTTAGGCTTATTCGCGCCTTCCTCTCCCCCTGCTTGCTGTCACGCGTGCCCGCCTTCTGCCATGCCGTGCTCTGAAGAGATACGCACCCTCTCTCCCAGCAAGCGGCCCCGGCCTGCAGAGGAGGACGGCGCGCGTCTTCGCTTCGTCCGCCTCTCGGAGCACGCCACCGCCCCGACCAGGGGGTCCGCGCGGGCGGCCGGCTACGACCTGTACAGGTGGGTGTTGGCCGCTGGCCGCCCGCGCCCCCGAGGGAGGCCGGTCCCGGCGAAGAGCCTAATGTCCCCGTCGTCCCTGCTCCCTCGCAGAGAAGGCTAATTCCCCAATTTTAGAGCTTTCACGTTAGTTTGCATTCAGGCCCTCTGCTGCCATGCCACAGCTTGAAACGTTCACCTAAAAGATTACAGAAACAAATGGGTTTTTTGGTGGGGGGTTTTGCATATATGTACGGTTTCCGACATTTCTGTGTTGAAAATTTTAGCTTTCCTCTTCAGCATAAATTCAGTAGGGATTTGGGCAAAGACTTCGGAAAAGTACGTAATATACGTAAATATCCTCTGAGGCGTCGCTTTGCAACAATTATTGCACTTTCCAAGTGGAAGGTAGAAAGGAATGAGGCCTTCAAGGCCTGAGCGTGATGCTGTGCCCGATAGAAAAGCCAGGGTGGGAGCTGAGGTGCTCAGTATGAAAATACCGAGGCAGGATTAATGAAAGCTGCTTTTGTCTTAAAGGGTTAATACAATTTCTCCACACGTCCATACCCGTCCATCTTTAACTTGGTCCCAAGGATAGGAAATTTCAAAATGGCCTTGAATATGAAAAGCAGGAATGTGGTAATACTACCACCTTTTCATTTGTACACTTTTTACCTATACTAAAAAACTTACATAGTCTATTTTTATGCATCCTCACAACAATCTGAATACACTAGTGTTACTTTTTACACATGAAAGGGTTTGTAAAGAGCTGAACTAACAGTCCAAACGGCTTGAATGTAATAGAACTTTTGACCCTGGATTCAGTGCTTTTTTCCTCCCACTGGACTCTTGGTGCTTACTTAAAACCATTAAGATAAGTGAAAGGTGATATTGGAAGTAGGGGATGTTTATTACATGACTAAATCCTGAGCCTTGGGATATACTAAAGCATTCCAGGTCATTCTCACGTGCAGAAGACTCATCTAAGTCATAAGTAAGTACAGGAAAAGAGGGGAAAGAAGTGAGTGATGGTAGTAAGGGAGGGAAAAAAAAGTGAGGTATAGACTTGTAGCTGAAAGGGATATAGTTCAGCTCCTTAATTTTCAAGAGTGAGAACTGTTTGACAACACGTAGTTTGACTACCCCATGTCTGGGCGCTGTTTCTGAGTCTTAGACTGGTTTTAAGGCAGTTGGAGCATCTTCATACACTGAAATAGAGACGTGGGAACAACTGACCTCTTTGATAAATTAGTGTTTAACTATTCAGAGCAAATTGCATTGAGGGAAGAAAAAATACACTACCAGTTTAACAAAGGTCTGCAAAGTAACTTCCAGTTGTGCTTGTCAAATTTCTGTCAAGGGAAAGGTACAGTAATAACAGTAAGAGCATTTGCTGGGTGGACCTTAGAGAATCGCAGTTCCTCCAGTGTCCGTTTCCAGGGCTGTGCACGGTGGTCAGCTCTCACCCTCAGCCAGTGAAGGCCATGGCCACAGCTTGGTATCCTTGCCTTGCTACCAGGATTAGCAGGACAGATGCGGCCCAGCTCTACCCTGTTACGTGGTTCACCCATTTTCCCCTTTCCTTCTGCATGGTTTCCATTATCCCTTAGGAAACTATTGTGAGAATATATGAGTTATTATAAAAAGCAGTTAGACCTGTGCCTGGGGCATAGTAAGGACTTAATGAATGTTAGCTGTTATTTACCCTTCTTTCTTAGTTCTCTCTTCATACTGTGTTAGTGAAGCATATACCTGTTTAAAGGTCTGCCTTTTCTGCCCCCTCCTGCTAAATAATTACCTGCATTTCCCAACCAAATTTTGTTCAGGGGAGAATACATTTACATCTTGTCACCTCTTTCACCAGAAAAATACATAGAGAATTACACTATCTTAATACGTTATTTTTTTCCAATATCTTCCTAGTGCCTATGATTACACAGTGCCACCTATGGAGAAAGCCCTTGTGAAAACCGACATTCAGATCGCTCTGCCTGCTGGGTGCTATGGAAGAGTGGGTAAGCCACTGAAGATTCGTCCTGTTCTCCCTTTGTGACAGTGTTCCTTCATCTTCGTTTTATCTGGGGTATAAACAAGGGATGGGGTATTGCTCAGCCTGTGTCCTAAGACAAGAAAGTTTCTACAGTGATCGTAGCTGCAGCCGTTTGAAAACTTTCATTTACATACAAGCACACTCCCGAGTTGCAGGTTCTGGTGCAAGCACTTGCAGTGAAGCAACTGTCGCGATAAAGCAAGTCATGTGGTATTTGGGGGGTTTCCCGTTCATATAAAAGTCGATGTTTACACTATATTGTAGTGTAGTATTACATCTAAAAATGTACATATCTTAGTTTAAAAATGCTTTGTTTCTTTTAAAAAATGTTAGTTATCATCTAAGCCTTCAGTGAGTTGTGATCTTTTTGCTGGTAGAGGGTCTCACCTTTGATTTCTAAAACATGCAGTATCTATGCGGCAAAATAAAACAAGGTCTCCCTGCATCTGCTTTTGCCTCTCTTGCTATTTTTTGACTCCATACTGGAGCTTTTGTAAGGCTCACATTGGCCCAAGAGGTTCTCACAACCAACTCACTGGAAATATAGGTGATTATTAACTGCTGCTTTTTCCAGTGTTACCACCAACTCCTTCAAAAATCAGATTGCATATGAAGGCAAGATTTTGTGAACATGGTGATGAGAATGGCTCATACTAGCTATGTAAGAAAAGGAAAGGGAGACAGTCTTAGGATAATGGCACCTGGCATTTTACATCATGGGAGTGAGACTTCTACCCCGTTGGTCCCAGAGTAGAGCAGGCCACTTGGCCTTCTGCCCTTTGGATTTACCCCCTTGGGGCGCGTCCTTCGGGTGAGGGATATTCTTCAGGGAGGGAAACACTGCACAGAGGGAGGAGCTAGGACAAAGTGGAGTGCAAGTTCACGGGTGTAACTTCTGGACTGGTTCATTTGTCACTGGGAAGAGTTTAAAACCTTTCAAGAACACAAGAATGTTCTGACAAACTTCAGAGTAAACCTGGAGGAGCAAATGGAACAGTGGCCCCTCCCCCTAGGGTTGGGGTGGGAGGAGGTGCTACCACCGCTGTCCTGTTAACCTAGCAGGTGAGGGGGGTGAGAACTGCTAATACTTCAGCCTTTAAGAGAAAAATGAGATTAGCTCCCCGTCTGTTTTAGGATATTTGTGGCAGGGGGGTGGGGTTGGATGGGTAGAGATCAGGAACTGCAGTGAAATGAAAGTAGAGGCAGGAAGGAGTGGGATTTATTGACAAAGATCCCTGATTTAAATTATTCTGGAATAAAATACCAGAAGTTAGGATAGTTTATGGTAGGCCTGATGCTCAAGTCAGCAAGTATAAAATATAAACTTAGCTTTTTATTTTTTCATTTTAAAAATAAAAATCATAGTAAGTTGACTTTTTAAGGTTTAGTTGTTGGCATTTTGCTTGACTGATATTAAGCCTGTTACTCTGGTTCATTTGTTACATGCAGAGAGGTCTTTCAGCATCTGTATCATGGGTCAGAGTCCCAAGTTCTAGACTAAGCTCTGCTATACTTCCCATCTACAATACACTGCAGCATGCTCAGAACGCCCACCTTAAAAGTCCCAGGCCTGACCCATGTGGCTCAGTTGGTTTGGCATTATCCTGCAAAACAAGGACTGCCTTTCAATTCCTGGTCGGGGCATATGCCTGGGTTTTGGGTTCAGTCCCCAGTAGGGGTGCATACAAGAGGCAACTTACTGATGATTCTCTCTCACACTGATGTTTCTTTCCCTTCCCTCTCTAAAAATTAAAAAAAAAAAAAGTCCCTCTGCTCTCTTCATGCCCCTGGCAGCCACAGTCCTCCCATGTGGCCAGTGTTCTGCACAGGTGCCTGTGTCCCCGCTTGCTCACCTTCAGCCCAGTCCAAGGGTCCGTGGCTGCACCACCACTGAAGTTGTGTGGGACTGGCCTAAGTTGGCTTCAAATTAAACCTTGTCTGATTTTTCTAAACTAATCAACTTGCGTAATATGATATAATAAATATATTCTTTAATTCAGAACCATCTGCTAGAGTTAAGATGAAGATATCAGTGGTAGGATGTGAGTCAGTTATATCCAGTAATTGCCCTTCCACCTTAAAATAGCCAATTTCTTCTTTTTTGTTTTCCAGCTCCACGTTCTGGCTTGGCTGCAAAACACTTCATAGATGTAGGAGGTATCGTATTTACATTTTTATTCTGTAAATATTTTTTAAGTATTTACTTTGCTTAAGGAATTAATCAAGTGACAGACTTTATTTTTATCTTCAAAACAAGGAAATGGTTTTTATTTCTTGCCTTTCAGAAATTTCTATCTCTGAATAGACAATTTTTATATTTCAAATGCTATTTGATTATATGTAACCTTTGAATGACCATTATATGAAACACATGTTGTTTTACCAATAGGTTTACTAGACACAGATAGGATTTTTGCTTTAATTTAGCGATAATCTGCATTTAGTCCAAAAATGACTCCATTCATAGAGGAAGTTTTGTTATTATAAGAAGCAAACGCTTTTATGTCATCTAAGCAATTATATTTTGCTTAAATAATTACTAAGTATGTATAAATAATTAAGCAAAAGTTTCTAGAAAATACAATTTCATCTTGTAAGAATTTTGTTAACCTTTTTAAAGGAGAGGAATCTGTTTGGCAAAATATAAAAAGAGAATCTTTCCCTAGTCAGGAAAGCAGACACAGCTTTCCTATCTAAATTTCTTGCTGAGCCAGTCCTCCGTGGCTCCTGTTTCTTTTATAACAAAGCCTTACTCATGTCTCCCGAAGTCAGCAACTTCCTTGCCAGGTCCCTCTCCTGAAGGAGCCCCTGTCTCCTGCTGGCCACACTGGTGAGAGGTGTCACTGCCCCTCGCTGTGCAGAAGCTCTCAGTGTCCTGATACTGCCTCCCTTGCTTCCAGTCTCATTACTGGGGCACAGAGCCCACTGACAGGGCTCTCCTGTCCTGACTTCTTTTTTTAAATGGTTTTCCTCCCAATTTTCTTTTTTATTTGTACCATTTAAAGTAATTTTCTTACAATATCTTTGTTGACATATAATTTACATTTCAGACAACTCGCCCAATTTAAGATGTATAGTTCAATGGTTTTAAGTGTATATTCACAGAACTACAATCATCACCACCAATAATTCTAGAACATTTTCATCATCTCTCAAAGAAACCTCGTATTTGTTAGTAACTCACTCTCGTCCCCCCAACCAATAGCCCTGTGCAACCACTAACTTATTTTCTGTTAACATAGAACATGTTTAATATTTGTTTGAATTTTCCATTGTAAGTGGAAACAGGAATAATCAGAAAAAGAAAAAAACCTATGCCCACCTTACGAAACATGAATTTCTGCCATAATGTGGCTCCAAGCACATCTGTCCTCAGCAAACACATTGAGGCAAGGGAAGTGGGGGCTGGGTGGAGCTGGGCACAGAGGAGGGAAGTGGGCATCCTCTGTAACAGTGTCGACAGTTTTAAAAAGCTTAAAAATTTTTAGATAAATCTAGTTGACAGATTCATGGAGGGCTTCATGGGACATCAGTGTCTTCAAGGTGATCAGGAAAGATGACCCCACACATTTTCCTGGTGCCACTGTCAGAAACAGCTGGCAGTGCCCTAACCCTCCCTCCTCCCCACTCACAGTAGTGAGGGCTTCACGCACAAGATGTCTTGGCTCTCAGATAAGTGGGTGTGCCAGGTTCTCTGCCTCCCTCCATTTTTACAAAGCTACTTTTCAACAGATGAGAACACTGGCTCAAAGATGAGCCCAGGTCACACGTTAAAAACTGGAATCTCCGTTCAGCCGATTCCAATCTGCTCGTTGTTTCCACCGCAGGCAAATGCTGTGGATCACCCTGTCACATCCATCACCACCAAGCTCTGTCTTGAGTTAGCTTGTTGTCGCCTGTACCCCCTGGGCTACCTCCTGTCTACCCCATGGGCTCCCCGTGGTATCCCTGGGTGGTGCCGTGGGGACCCAGAAGTAGTCCCTAAGAGAAGCTGAGCTTGACAACAGGGACGGACAGCCCACTGGGGTTGAGGATTGTCGGGGCTCATTATGCTTGATTTCAAAAAATAACTTTTACAAAGTCAAGTATGGTAACTTAGCATATAAATTAAAGATATAAACAAAATTGTATATAGCCCTAGCCAGTGTGGCTCAGTTGGAACATTGTCTTATAGACTAAAAGGTCGTGGGTACGATTCCCAGTCAGGGCACATACCTAGGTTGCGGGTTTGATCCCTGGTTGGGGCACATTCAAGAGGCAACTGGTCGATGTTTTTCTCTCATGTAGATGTTTCCCTCCCTCTTTTCCTCCCTAAAATCAATAAGCATGTCCTTGGGCAGGGATAAAAAAAATAAGTAAATAAAAATTTGTATATATTTTAAAAGAAATTTCAAAGGGTTGCTAAAGGAACATGGGCTTTGGAATAACAACAATGAAAATTAGTGTGACCACCTGTGAAGGGTTGGCGGGTTAAATGATAATGCATCTGACACTTTGATACATATGAGATATGCAAGTTATATTCCTGTGCCCCAGTGACTTAACCTACTTTTTAATGTGGAAGCTTTGTTACTAATTTTTGCTGTTTAAAACAAGCCTCTGCTTTAAAAAAAACATTCATGTAAAAGAAATGGAGGTTAGTTTGCCTGATGGTTAGTGTGGTATTATTTGTAATTTCACACTGGTGTGTTCTTGGATGCAGAATATCTTTAAAATGTCTCTTAGGCACAAGTTTAGCATAGCTGGCCGCAGTCTTTAGTCCAGAGGAGAGATGTTAGAAGTCTCAAGCTGTAAATAAGGGTCAAAGGGAAAAGTGGAGTATGCAGGATTCTGTTCAGAATTCACATCTGGTAGGTGTGGGTACTTTTTCACTGAAGGTTCCAACAAATGACATGCCAAAGTCTTGACACAGTAAAAGTTTGCCTGAAGTCAGTTCATCACCCTGCCAGTTCCAGTGCGTGATTTTTCCAGTGATGACTTCTAAATACTTTCTGCTTTCTCTCGAAAAGAAATATACTTGATGTAACTTAGGTCCCTTGTGTGTGTTTTTCTTGAAGGTCAAATTGCCTTTGAGTGGTAAATGAACTAGGAACTATTGGATATTTTTACATGGTTGGCATTCATGCTAAAAATAATTTTAATTGATAGCCTTTTTTTTTTCTTCCCTACATTTTACTTGACTTCAAACAATTTCATTTTTTTTTTTTTAGTTGGTTGAAGGCTGCTTCCCCCATGTCCATGGCAAGCACATAATCTTGGCAGATCACCTGGCATTGCAGAATCCAGCATCCCCAGGCATTCGAGTCTGATAGAAAAGCTTTACTGATAGATAGCAAGAACGGCCTTTACAGAAAGGGAGTGTTTTTTGTGTGGTAGAAGATAGCATGGACTAAAAAAAATACTTACAAAACATGAAAAGTTACATATACAAACAGATAAGAAAAATATAAAATATAGAAGAGGAATGCAAATGTGCAACAATTGTACAGAGGAGGAAAGTCCAACCTCATTAGTAGTGATCAGGGAAATGCAAAGTAATGCCATGAGGTACCATTTCTTAGCACATCGGCTGGAATTACAAAGATTGTTACCATCTGATACTGCGAGGACTTGGAAGTGGGTCTTAAGTATTGTTGATGGAAGTTTTAAGTGTTACACCTTTTTTGCCAGTTGTTCAAATTTAAAATGTACACACCCTTTGACCCAGTATAGTGCTTTTTGGAAATTATTTGGTGAGGATAAAAAGTGCTAATACACAGGGATACATGTACAGGGCTCTTGTTTATCATAGCAAAATTGTAAAAGCAACCTGATGTGTGATGATATGCTAGTAATGGTATTATATTTCCATTTCTTGGATCTAAAAAGAAGGACTAAGATTTATAATAATTTCAAAGGAAGTCTATGATATTTTAAGTGGAAAAAAGAAAATTTGTGAAATATATTACTGTAATACTGTAACATTGGCTACCTGAGGGAGGGTAGGAGAGTGTCGTTAGCTTTTATTTTATACATACTTGTAGAATTTTCATAATCTAAAAAATGTTCTCATAAAATAGGAACAAAATAATTCAGCAGTCAGCTCACATTGTCTTTAACACATTCTCAATAAATGAGTAGTAGTCTGTACATCACACCTCGCAGCATGGAGATTCTTCGGCCTTGTCTGGTCATCTGTTCTGGCCTGGAATAACTAATGTGCTCTGCAGAGAGGCCTCTTCATTAAACATCATCTACGCTGCTCCTGCGGCCGAGACTTTCTGCATATAGACAATACAGGAAAGAGCTGGTCCCATCTTTATACCAGTTCTTCCAGTAAACATTGAGGACTAATGCAGTGGTTGGCTGGCTGTGGGGAAGAAACCAGGCTTCCGTGTTCTTGGGGTTCTTGGCTGCACAAGAGGAGACTGTTTTAAGAAATACTTAGAATTCAGTTCCACTTATCCTTAGTAAGTCATTCATAAGGTTCATTTAAACTTCTGTAATTCACTGGGAACATCTAGAATATTGGTTTTCTGAGTATTTTTCCTATGGTGGAACTTTTTTAAAGGTTTACTTTTTTTTCTCTATATGAGAAAATTGAAAGAAAATACTCTTCAAAATTTTTTTTTCAGTTGACCTTCAAATAATGAGTCCTGCCAACCAACCATGGTATACCCATGGAGCTAAACTCCCAATTATGTTCATTTACTTTCTTCCTTTGATAAGAGAATTTATTTAAGGAGTTGGGTGTTAGTGAGATGTTCCGTGGAGCTACATTTAATTAGATTCATCTGAATTCCATTCAGCATTCTACAAACTGAGGGGCAAGAATTACCATCTATAGAAGAAATTGGCAGGGAAGGTGGTTTGGGGTTGGAGAGTGACTTTGATAGGTAAGGGTTTCTTTTGGGGTGATGAAAATGTTCTGAGATTGATTGTGGTGATGGTTGTGCAGCTCTGAATACACTAAAAATCGTTGAGTTGTGAATTATGTCTCAATACTAAAAAAAAGAAATGAGAGGGCCTGGTGCACTTACATTATTTGTGGAAACACTTCAAATTCTTGGCCACAGACCTCGTGACAAGTCTGGTAAATGTGTCCTAAGAAAAGATAGTGCTCAAATTAAAAGGAGCAAGAAATTATCAATTGAAAGGTTCAGCTGCGTTTTTGTTACAAAAAATTGAACGTTCGGATATTTGCTTGACGGCTGCTTCACTGTTTCAGCATCAGCTTCACTCCAGAGCTTTGGGCTTCTTGGCACTTTTATTTATGACTCAGTCATATTTCAATGTGGGTATTAGTGGGAAGCCACTACCAGAAAAAGCCTTTAAAACCCAAATCATATTTTCTCCTCATCTGTGTTGGCAGGTGTGCAGCAGAGAGATGGTGGGTTGGGGGAGAGCAGTCCAGGGTGACCTGCCAGAGATTCTGAGTGCCGCTCACAGTTGAGAGTAGGAAAGAGTCACCATTTGTAAGGGTGACAGGCTGGAAAATAAGGGCCATCTTCTCAAGTCTTACTGGCCTATTAGTAATATTTCTCAGCATTGAGGCTTTGCATAGTACCAGAGCAAGATTCACTCATTCAGTTGTATAAAAATCTTGGAGCCACAGAAGAATGATTTTGAGGTAATTACACACTCACTGTGTTTTGGTAGCATGAAACAAGCTAATAACGACTTTTCTTTTCTCTAGCCGGTGTCATAGATGAAGATTATAGAGGAAATATTGGTGTTGTACTGTTCAATTTTGGCAAAGAAAAGTTTGAAGGTATGTTAAGTGCAGTCATGTGGACACAGCAAGTTCTCAGTTGTATGTGTTAAAATAACACATACTCTGATTCTTGTACAAGACGGGATATAGAAAATGTATTAATAAAAAATCAGTAATACACTGTTTTTTTCCTCTTTGAAGTTAAAAAAGGTGACCGCATTGCACAGCTCATTTGTGAACGGATTTATTACCCAGAAATAGAGGAAGTTCAAGTAAGTATCATAGAAATTGAGTAGGGAAGGACTAATGTAACATATTCAGTGAAGGGAAATTAAAATTTGGAGGATTCAGTGTGTTATTTGTAACTAAACAGTAGCATATACGACTAGTCCCATGTTAAATTAAATGCTAGTTTTAGAAGTTCTTGAAATAATTTTCACAGCTATCATATAGCATTACTTTGGTAATCATTTAAATATCAGTAGAATTCTATTTCCTTAGCTTTTTTTAAATAATTCAGTATTTAAATTTATGAAGCTTTTTGAAAATTTAATTTTTTCTTGGTAATTTTTTAAAAATATGGAATAGCACGAACCAAAGTCTTACCACTGGGGAGCTGGGGAGGACAGAAGGCCGGAGACTAACCGTGGGCCTGCCGCTCTCTCTCTCTCCAGGGTTTGGACGACACCGAGCGGGGCGCCGGGGGCTTCGGGTCCACTGGGAAGAACTGAAATGTGTGCCGGCGACAGGAAATGAAAAAACGCTTTTTTCCTAAAAAGAAGAAGGATTTGTTTGTTTGTTTGTTTGTTTTGGTGTTTACTAGCTTTAGCTGCTAAAAATACTTAGTTCTTTTGTGAGCTAGGAAAGGTATGTTTTTCTGCATTTGATTACTATATAAATCTACATGGTAACCAAACAGTTTATTTTTTTAGTCACATGTACATCAGGTACTGATTCACTTCAGAGCTCTTTAATTTCCTAAACCCTGCCCCTCGAATAAGGTGTTTGCTTTATAAATGTTATGCAAAGCCTTTTATTCAGTAGATACAGATTATTACATAAACTGAAATAAAAAGCAATAAAAAGTTATTCCTTGTTCTTTTCATTCTTTTCATTGATCCAAATTTTTTTTAATATATATGTATATAAAATCTAAACATTTAAGATTTCTTTGTGAAAGTCGGAAGAAGGGGATCATCGGTTTATTTTTAGGGGTTTTTTCTTTTTTAAATCTTTTGGTGGATGCTATGTTGACAGGGGTAGAGGATGTTTGTGAAAGGAAATGTAACTGGGGAATTTCCAGTTGATTTCCTGTGAATTTCAGTCCATTAAGTAAATTGTAGGAGATGAGATATATGGGTTCCCCTCACTGAAGTAGCAGTAATAGCCTGTATCCAAGAAAGTACACAATTTAACTGAGATAAGCTACAATAGATGAAGTGATCTATGCTCAGTCCACGGGGTTTATCCCACCCGTGTGCTTTTGTTTACATGAGTTTAAGCAGCATTTCACTGCAGACGGGGCTGTGTTGGAGGACTACCCATACTTTGCCTTGTGTAACGCACACCCATGTTATTGGCCCAAACTTTCAGAAAAAAAATCAGTGTTAATTTTGTAATTCAATTTATTTATATTTAGATATTCGGGTTTTTTTTAATTATAAAGGAATTTTAGCATTTATTTTTAAGCATGTTATGGTATAACAAATTTTATGTGCCAGTAATGTGCCAGTAAATTAGTACTACCCATGTATAATTCACACCCTTTTTCCCCCCCTCAAAAATTTGGGCAAAGAAGTACACATTATACACGACAAAATATGGTAGTTTGACGAACATTTACTGCCATCTTCTAGATGTGCTTTCCCCCAGGTCCCTTTACAACAGGGCTCTGGGTGTCACCGTAAGCTGTCAGGCACACTGGGCTGGGATTTGGGCCGCACTCCTGGGAGGGTGGGGCATGCGGCGGAGTGCTCCTGGAGCCGGCCAGAATTTGTTTTTTCTGCCCTCCCAGTGATTCTCCTAGGCATTCAATGCCCTGCAGTATAGTAGTTTCCGTCTGTGGGTCACGGTCACGATCCATTAGTCATAAAGTGAACACAGTGGGTCATAACTAGCATTTTAAAAAATTGAATAGGAAAACGACAGCACATGCTGGGTAAATATTGTGAACATTGTTTGAATTACATATTTATGTATGTGTATTGGGTCATGGTATAAATTATTTCTGCAGCTTAATAAAATTTATATAAATCCTTTTCTGCTGAACTAGCCAGAGTAGATTCTGTTCTCTGAACCCTGACCATACATGGTGACAGTTGAGTAAGAGCAAATAGCATGACTACCAAGAGATGGCCTTACACTGTTAATGTTAGTTACCACTTACTGAAAGTCCACTATATTAAGCACTTGTACCAAATGCCTGTTTCTTTCTCGTAGCATACCTGTGAGAGAGTAGATAAAACACTTTTTATAGATGACAAAAGTCAGCTCAGAGATGTTTTACCTTGCTTAACACTTCAGCTAATGTGACCACTATTAAAATGTTCTTTGCAGCACTTCTATCTTTCAAGTGGTAGAAAGACTATAGACTGGAAGAGATGGTTAATGAAAGTCCTGATCTGGTTCAGACCTGGAATATTCCATCTGTGCACCATACTTGGAAGCTGCTGAGGTCTGCAGCTGCTTTGAAAGTTAGAGACTTAGAACCACATCCACGGGGGATCCATGGAAGACCTGGCTGCTCAGAGAAGTGTGTGTGTGCTGTGAGTGGGAGGCATGGTGGGGAGGTCAGGTGGCAGGAGAAGGTCCTGGGATTTGAGAGATATTCTTAGATCATAAAAGGCTCAGAGGGAATTAGGCTTGTCAGACCTTAGGGACTGGAATCAGTAGACTTAAACTGCAGGTGTTATCAGTGAGATAATGGAAAATTAATATCGGTCCCTTCCCCTGGTTCCTGACAGCTCATAAAGCCCTTGTAATTTTCTAAGTGATAAGGGGCATCTCTTAACATTGGTCTTTGACCTCTGATCCTAACAGAGCTCCTGAAACCCCTGTCATTTCCTGGGTGCCAGAAGTGCCTGGTTCTAATAGGGGACCGGGTGGGCTCCTTGATAGCTCCTGGATAATCACTAGTCACCAGAAAGACCATGAACAGAAGACAAGAATTTCCAGCCTCACTCCCCATTCTCTTGGGAAGGGAGAGGGCCTGAAAATAGAGCTAATTAGGGACCATGCCCACGTGGGGAAGCTTCCATAAAATCCCGAAATGGGTTCAGAGAGCTTCCAAGTAGTGCCCAGACAGCGTGGAAGCTCTACTCTTCCCATATACCTTGCCCTGTGCTTTTCTGGATCTTCATGTGTACTCTAGGAAACGAGACCAGTGTTTCCCTGAGTTGTGTGAGCTGCTCTATGAAACTAACCAAACCTGAGGACGGTGGGTCTTTGGAACCTCTATACTTGGTCAGAAGCACAGGTGACAACCTGGGTTAAAGGCTGGGTTTTGAAGTGTGTCTCTTGGGGGTGGGTGGACAGGCATTCTTGTGGGACTGAGCCCTTGTGGGATAGCTTTCAGTATCTTCAGGAAGATGGCGTCAGAATCTAATTAAGTTGTAGGACACTCAGCTGGTGTCACAGAATTGATTGGGGCCTCCACACAGCTGGTAAGCAGAGTGAAATCTGCGTAGTAAAGGACACTCAGGGAAGAACAATTTCAACAGCTTAGTAACCTCCCAGGCAGAAACCAGGCATTTTCCTAATCCTTAACGGTTCTGCTTCACTGATGATGCCCACGGTCCACTCCTGTCCCTGGTACTGCATACATCAGGAGGGAAATGATCAGGTGACTTCACACATCAATCTAATGTTCCACCACTGACTAAATCTACTTTGTCCCTGTCCACAGAAGAAGCCACATCCTCATACTTCAACAGTTGGCCTAGATGGTTGGGGGGTGGGGTGGGCACCTTCTCTTAATAGTACTTCCTACCACATAACCATCTTCATCCCACTGGACAGGAGACAGCAAAGCATTATTTCCTCAAATTCATCTTCTATCTCATCAGTGGAACCATGGTGGGAGGTTAGAGGGCTAAGAGACACAGGAACCTGGAGTTTTATAGAGTAAATGTATCAGAGTTTGAGACTAATGGGCCTCACAAATATCGATAATCACATGACTGTCGAGCCTAAGTTGTCATACAGGGCATTCTATTCTCAGCAAGGCTCCTGCCCCAGTCAGCTTGCTTTGACTATCCCAAGTCACCCTAGGTCCTCTTCCTCCTTTGCCCTCTCCCCTGCTTCTTTAACTCAAGCAGTGGTACCTGTTAGGAGATGCTGATAGTTTGTACTTACCTCTGGCCCCCAACTTTTTCCTGCTAACCTCTACTGCATTCTGAGGTGATGGTGATAGAACGAGCCACAGGAGACAAAGCCCATCTCTGGTAGCAAACGCTGCCTCAATTTCCTCTCCCTGCCCCCAGAGCTTGGTCAGAAGTCAATGACAGGTAAGACCCCTCACAGCGGGGGGCAACCTAAGCCAGACTCGATCACCTGGGAGGCCTTCATGGAAGGACTGGGGGGCTGCAACAAAGAGCAATGGACTCTCGCCCCGGGCTTTGACAAAGCTCGAGTCCCAAGTTCTCTGGGAGAAGCAATTCCTGGCTCTAATCCCCTTAAGCCTGAATACCTGTTGGGGAGGGGTGCAGCTCCTTGCCTTGCTAGAGCGTGCCCTGGGGAAAAATCTGGCATCACAAAGACTTGCTGATAAACCTGTGAAATCTGTTCTGCTAAGAGTGCTTTCATTCATATGTTAAGTGTTTGAGCAGGAAACACTAAAACTCTGTTCCTGACAGACACTGACTCAGACTAAGCCCTCAGATTTCTTTGAAATGTTATCTACTGTTTGACCCTTGCCACCTTGTATTCCCATGTATTAGAACCCAATAAAAGGCTATGGAGGAGGGGACTCAAGGCCTTTTTCTCCTCAGAGAAACTGGCTGCTGCTGGCCTTTTTCCCCTGAGAAACTGGCCACTGCTCACGGCCTTTTTCCTCTGGGAAAATGGCCACTTCTCCTCCCTAAGCAGATCACATCTCGTCTCAGTCATATTTACTCTCATCCATGGTGGCTGGGGGCACTTGCGAGGAAAGTCACCCCCACAGAGGAAGCTTGACAAAACTTGTACTAAGAGGCATGTAATTAATCATTCTAATAAACATAATGTGATTGACCTTTGATTAGGCATTTAAAGCCATTTTATTTCATGCTCATTAGTGTAAAATATACTATTTTATGTACCTGACCTGATCCTTTCAACTGAGAAATACCCTCCAGTATTGTGTCATCATCCAAAGAAGAGAGGTGAGGAGGGAAGGGCTACCTTCTCAAAAGTGTAAATGAAATGCCTTCTGCTGAAAAGACGTATGTCCACTTGGAGATGGGTTAGGGACATGGCATTTTGACGCTGCTCTCTTTAGCAAAAAGAAAATGAGAAAGACATATAGATGAAACTGGAGTTTTCACTGAGAAAATCTTCTAAATATGTACATGAAGAAACAAAATATATTAAAAATGGTCTCTTCCTATCAGCAAGTAAACATGGTTAAGTTGGGAGAATTTTAAAAGATTCAGGCAGTCTCCTAAAGACAATGTCTAACTATGAAGTAAGACTATAGAGAAAAATTCATATTAATTTAATAAGTTATTAAACTATGTTTTGGTTTATATCTAAATTTTTGAGTAAAGAAAATTGTCTAATTTTTCAATTTAAAATAAAAATCTTTTATTTTTTAAAATATTTTTTAATTGTTGTTCAGGTACAGTTGTTTCCATTTTGCCCCTATAGCTCCTCACCACCCCACCCACCCCCACCCCCCACCCTCAATCCAATGCCCCTTCAGTTTTGTCCATCTGTCCTTTATACGTGTTCTTTAATGACCCTTCGCCTTCTTTCCCCTTTTATCCCCCTCCCCCACCCCCTCAGGTTACTGTCAATGAGTTCTTTATTTCAATGTGTCTGGTTCTATTTTGCTTGCTTGTTTGTTTTATGGATTAGGTTCCACTTACAGGTGAGATCATATGGTATTTGTC